TGAAGCAAAGTAAGTTTACTTCCAAAAATCCTCATCTTTTTATTTACTGTCTTTAAAGAACATTTTTATTTGCCTCCTACCAACAAATCTAAAAACCCTACGCCACTGTGTTGGAGTTTCTTGCCTTAAATAAACACACTTGTAAATGTGCTCAAGCCTGCATAGATCTGTGGGATGTGCACACATGTGTGAGTGCACAGTGGAGAGTAGGTACTGGAGCCTCTGTGTGCCTCACTGTCCCTTCTCACCAGTCTTCATGCCCCTCCCAGCTCCACCTCCCCATGAGCAGCCTGCCATCATCAGTGCATCCTCAGACCCTATCGATAACCAGCTCTGATCCCACCAGTGATGTGGCTACACCAGCCTGTAGGTGACAGAATGTTAGAATTGTCAGCAAATAGCCTTAAGGAAGAAGGATTCTGTCTACATAGATTTTTTTTTTAAATATCACTAATTACCTCTCTATATTTTCTACATTATGCCTCACATCTTTGTTTCTTACTTTCAAGCAAGATGATCTGACTTACTGCCTGTGAGAGGAGGAAGGCAGCCTAAAGGAAAGACTTAACTGGCCCAGATGGTGGACGAAGGCTGCTCCATGAATGGCACAGGCATGGCCGGGTGCCTTAGAATATGCTGCACTTTTTCAGAATATTGTGTTACTGTCCTTGTTTATTTGAATATACAAGTGCATTATTTACAACTTTAACCTAATTTTTAGTGAATAAATGAGTTTAGTGGGATCATTTACTAGAGCAGGGATGATTCAGAAGCAGCTTTATCAATGAAAATTGAGTCCCACCCTGAATAAGTTTTATACCTCTTACAGAATTTAACATTTGGGCATGAGGAAGTATCATATGAAACCCCAGAGAGGTTCTTGTAAGGGTCTTTTGTGACCCCCTTCCCTCTAGAAATGAATGCTGACAGTCCCATTATCATAGACATAACTATCTATTGTGTAGATTATTCCATTGATTCAGGGTCAAGGTTAAAATGATAATTTTAAATTTTAAGTTCTTACTTAATTTCTTTTGTAATATATTCTCTCCTTAATCCCAAAGCTTGAGTTTCTTTCCATTTCATAGTGACATCTTCCTCTGCACTTAAGATCATCCTTTTGACAATCACACACTACTATGTGTCCATATTTTATAATTAGTTAGCTCACTACTCTTAAGTTATTTAATAGTTCACATAATTTTATGCCTTGTCTATAAATATATTATAGGTTCCCTGAGAAACAGGATCACCTAAAGGCTAAAATCCTTCCTCAATAGGCCTTCTCAGGATAATCTGTGCCCTTTCCAGCAGAAAGTAAATTCATAGTGATGCTTTAAAAGTGATACATTTAGCATTTGCCCCAGTAATATTTCCATTTTCAAGTGGAACTGAGTCAGTTAGGGTAGGAGGCTATGGCCTCCTTCACAGCACACTTCTCAGTAAGATAACCATTTCTCTCACATCTGTTCCGCACTTGGTCACAAGCCTTAATACACATTCAGAAGCCACAATGCTGCCTACTGGGGACATTTTCAAAAGTCATTTACCTACTACATTGTGATCATGATGACTGATGCTATTATATAGGAACTGACTCTGTTGCCTACAGGGAAGTCTCATCAGAATCAGACAAACAGGACCAAGAAGAAGTCAAAGCATTGGAGTGATTTGATTGACATATTATAGCAGGTGACTGACATGTATTCACCTTTGAAGCAAGTTATGCTTACATCAGGATCACCAAGTAAAAAGTGTGCAGATTTCCAGGAATTTGACAATTACTGAGCATTCATGTTAAAATATACTAAAATAAAAGTTAGGAACGTAGACAGGTGAATTTTGTCAGTCATTGAACATTTGTGTCTATTGTGTTTATTTGTCTGACATCACACTATAATCACCTTTGTCATCCTACACATCCCAAACTCCTGCTTTTTGTTTTATTTGAAGGGTATTTGTAGAATGTATATATTTTATTTGTATTAGAAATACTCAATAAACAAGAATATATGCCTCCCGAGTCTGCTATGAGCAAAATAATAAAACAAGGATGAAAAAGCATTCTTAAAAACCTAAAGACTTCTCTTAAAAATATCTCTTTCCCAGCCAGGCGGTGGTGGTGCATATCTTTAATCCCAGCACTCGGGAGGCAGAGGCAGGCGGATCTCTGTGAGTTCAAGGCCAGCCTTCTCTACAAGAGCTAGTTCCAGGACAGGCCCCAAAGCTACAGAGAAACCCTGTCTCAAAAAACAAAACAAATACAAATACAAAAAATATCCCTTTCCCAAAGTATGGCTTATTCCATTTCTAGAACAGGCCTGAAACCAGGACTGAACTGCCATCTTATAGATAGGTGCATAACTCTACTGCCAATCCACCTCACTCAAAGCCTACTCCCTTTGGCATATATTGGAAACAGAAGGTTAAGGATTTGTCCCTAGGCACTGTCGAGAAGCAAAGGTATCCTATCATGCTGAAATATTTATCAGACAGGTGGCTCTCATGAAGACTGACAGAGAAGATTGTCACAGCCTAAAGTTTAAGATCATGTAACTAATAACCTTTGCTCTGATTCATTGTTCATGGGAGTTATTCCTTGCCTAAAGGAAGACAATACACTTCACAGGCCAAGCACTGGTTTACTCTAGGTTTACAATTCTCAATATATAAACATATTATAGGTTAAGCAGCCATCATCCAAAAGCCTGAAATCAGAAAGAAGTTGCGTATCCAAAATCCAAAAAAATTTTTTAGTACTGGTATGACACCACAAAGAGAAAATTGTGTACCTGGTCTCATATGGACACATTAAAAGTACAGCAGAAGGTGCTAAGGAGATGGCCCGGTGGCTATGCGTGCTCTTCACACAAGCATGAGAAGCTATGTTTGGATTCCCAGCACCTGTAATGCCGGACTTGGTGGCAGGGACTGGAGGACCTGTAGGGGTGGCGCATCTCCCATTGGCCTACTAGTCTAGGTAACTGGTGAGCACGGAGTGTAAATTACGTGCAAAATAAGCAGTGGAGGAAGACACCCAGTGGCAATGTCTTTATATTGCAGAACATTATCTTCAGACTATGTATAGAAGATGTATAGGAAACAAGTTTGCCTTTGACATTGTGTACTATCACCAAAACATGTGTGTGTATGTGTGTGTGAACATTCCAAAACGCAAAACACTCTTACCCTTAGCCCATGCATTTTAATTGGTGGTCTCTACTTTGAGCTCATCAAGTTGAGAAATGGATTTTGGGTCAAAGAAATTTTACCAAGAAAAATTACACACTGTCTGCCATGCAGTGGTGGCACATGCCTTTATTCCCAACACTTGGGAGGAGGAGGCAGGCATATCTCTGTGCATTCAAAACCAGACTTGTCTACAGAGTAAGTTTAGGATAGCCAGGGGTACACAGAGAAACCCTCCCCCCCCCCAAAAAAAAAAGAAAGAAAGAGAAAAAAAGAAGAAATAAAAATTAAAACACATTGTGAGTTTTCTTGGCAACTAGTCCTCCCACGGTGATACATCCCTGTGATACCAGGTATAACAGTTCTTACTGCAACAGTACTGCTTAACAGAGTTCTAAAGCAATTTTTGCTATTGCTCAACAAAGTTCAACTCGTGGTCTGACTGGTCTGATTTCCGGCCACTTAAAGCAGTTCTGTCGCTCACGCTCAAGTCTGTCGCCGGACTGAGACAGTCCTGCTCTACATGTCACCCTCTTGGAGACACTCATGGACCAGTAGGATATCTGAGGTTTGCTCCTCTCTGAAATAAAAGATACAAGAGAATGAACTGAACATGAAAAACGTTTCTGCAGCAGGCTCATAAAGTTCTAGCTTATTCTATGAATGAATCAGATCTTGTGGCAGAGAGAAACATAGTCAGCCTCTTTAGCAAGGGGGACTCTGTACTAGTATAATAAAGGATATGTATCCTGGGAGGTGTGAAGAACTGGGGTCACTACTGCAAGTCACTCAGTTTATTGTGTATGCTAACAAAACCAATATGGACCAAAGTCAGAGTATCATAGGGAGAACTCAAGACACAATTTAACTATGTGAAACACAGTGGTCATTTCATAAGTTGAAGCAGATCTTGTAATGTTAGAAAAATTATTTAAACTGACATTAAGTCAGATGTAACTGCATATATATATACATATATATACGTATATGTATATATATATATATATGTAATCCTTGACAAACTATCACAAAACTCCAAGAACTATAATGATAATGCCAAAGGTATCATTCCAATGGTACAGAGCATCAGGTACCATTCTGGTGCCATAGCACCACAGCAGTTGTTGCCTTGCTGGGATGGCCAAGACGTTCTAGGAAGAATAGTTGTAAGCTGTGAGATATTTCTGTCAGAACAGAGGCAAGGGCTGCTCGTCCTGCTCTGTCCCTGCTGTTTCTGCAACTACAAGAGCTCCTTCTACAACCTCAGCTAGAGCTGCCCGACTACTGTTGCTTAGGACTGGAGAGGGTGAAGATGGTGGGAGCATCGCCGCTACATTTTTTTTAAAAAGTTTCATTTTTATTTTGTGTTATGAGTGTTTTTCCTGCATGAATAAACACCACATGTGAGTCTGGTGCCCCTTTTGGTCAGAAGAGAGCAGGGGATCCCTTGAAACTGGAGTTACAGGTGATTGTGAGCTACCTACTTGGTTCATAGTTGTTTGACTCTATTGTTCGGATTATTTGAAAACCCGCTTACTACAAGACACAAATATAAACACAGCTACTGTGAATTTAAAGGGGAGCATCCACTTAGGCTAGGTTGGTTATGGAAGCTTTTGGCGGGTCAGATCATTCTTTCCTAGGGGAGTCATCTTTCTGTCCACTAAAGGCTGAACTCCACAAACCACACCCACCTCTCAGTAAGTGTCCTGTGCAAAGCAAATGTCCTTCTAGCTGAGACTGGAAACACTCCAGCTTCTGGTGGACGACTCTTAAAAACTCGCGCTCTATCTCCTTTTGTGGAAGCTTCTGTCTGGAGCGCTCCTAGTCAGTATACACTGCCTGCCCTAGAATCCATTCCTCTCTCATCCTGGACTTTTTTGTCCCAGGAGCAGCCCGAGTCTGAAGCGTACGGAGGTGTGAGTAGGGGTCTTGTTACTTTGGCCCACTTGGTAAGAACTGGGTGTAGTGATGAAAGTAAGAGGTGATATTATTTGAAGACACTGCACTCTCTTCCTGTTGAGTGGGACTTTCCTCTCTGTTAGGCAAACGCAGGACCTCCCTGGGCGGCTCTCTCAGGAGAGCTGGCCCCTTCCGCTGCCTGCTCCCTCCAGTGAGCTAGCAGTTTCTCCAGCCTGGAGCCTGGAGCACCAGACCAGGCCGTCAGGGGCGGGCCAGCCCAAGGGGCTGCCTTCGCCGCAGTGACGTCCCAGAAGGCGGAGGGGCGACCAACTAACGGACTCTGCGCCCTCCCGGACTCCTCCCAGTGCGGGGTCTGTGGGTCCATGGGAGATGCGGCTGCCTTGGTGGCAGTTGCCAGAACGCAGCCGCCTCTTTGCCCACTTCTCTGTCTTAGCCCTGGGGTGTTGGAACGCACTGGAATCCAGCAATGCAGCCGGGACCAGCGCTGCAGGCCGTGTTGCTGGCTGTGCTGCTGGCAGAACCGCGGGGTTCGAAGGGTCGCCTGCTGAGCGGTGAGTGTGCGCCCCGGGAAGAGGGTTGGTGCCCGAGCGCCTAGGGTTGACGCGCCCAGTACACCCCAGCTCTTGAGGATTGTCTTCAGGGCCACTGCACCCCTACTCTGTCCTTTCGCGTAGTGAGGGGGTCAGGGATCCCAAGATCCGCTCTGGGACCCAGTCTGCCCTTCTGAGTTCTCTGCTTTCAGGGAGCAAATGTGCAGCCAACTCCGGTTCCTGGGCTGCCCTGGGTATCCTGAAACGCTGGAAGTTCATTCTCGCCCAGGGGTTACCCAGGGGTGACTGGGAGGATAGCCTGGGTGGGGCAGTGGGCAAACTTGCTCCAGTGAGTGCCCCTTCTCCTGCACCCTTGAGCATTGCTGCTCTGCGCCGCAGTGCCTGGATCCTTCTGGTGGAGGCTGCCAATTCTGGTTCTGTGGGACTGTGGGAAGCCTACCTGTTACTCTTGCTCTCCTCTGAGGGGTTGGTGGCTGGCCTGGAATGGGAGCGCTTGGAGATTAGGAAAGCAGTCTAGTTAGAAGGAACGGAACCAGCCCTGCCAGGCTCCAAGAATGACTCTGCTTCCTTCCTTGTGTGTCACTGCAGCCTCGGACTTGGACCCCAGAGGAGGTACAGTGCTCTGACTTCTTTCTCCTTCCACTCGGTCTGCATGTCTGGGAGAGAGTATCTATATCTTTTTTTATCAGTTCCCTTTTGGTCAAAGAGGGACGGAGGAAAATGGGAATCTCCGCTGTATCCCAGCCTGTGGGCCTGATTTAAGGAATCTAACTTTGGTTTCAGGATGGGGATGTGGCTCAGCTCAGCAGAGGAGCAGCAGCGAGGGTTAGAACTGCATGGCTCTGCACTTGGTGGTGATGGGAGACCTCCTGCCTGCCCTTCCCCTTCCTGCAAATGAGAAAAGAAAGACACTTCCTGAAGGCAGGGGAACCAGATGGGTCCTGGGCTGCCTTCCAGCTCTGGTGCTCCCTGGCACTCACTAGCATACAGGGGATGTGTGCAGTCATCCCAGACCATGCAGGAAACCCTATCAAGGTGTTAAGCTTTCTCTTGGCAGTCTGGCCTGAAACGTGGGAATGCTAGAAAAGACAACTCCAGTTTCTGTTGTGCTAGTAGCCAGGTTGGGAGAGGCCAGGGCCCCTCTGCCTTCCTCTGCTAAGCACATTCTCCTTTTCTCTGGACACCTCCCCAGTGAGCAAGGCCAGCTTCTGAGCACTCCTCATCCTTCTAAAGGGAAGAGGTACAGAACACTCCCAGCTCCTTGCTCAAGTGTGGAGTTGGGGGAGAATTTAGCACTGTCTGCCGTCTTTTGACCTGTATGCTGGACAAATATTGAAAATAATAAACATTGTCTGGCTCCCTGCAGACAATGTTGGGGAAGGTGGAACACTCCAGAAGGCCTGGCAAGAGGCTCAGAAACTAAAATCACTTATGCGTTACTTGGTGGCAGCCATTCGCACCCGAAGCCTACAGTTTTGGCTCTTTTATTCCAAGGGACTAGTCTCCTTGTTGAAATCTGTCCTTTATTTTGTACACTGAAATCCAGAGTCGAGCTGGCATGTCTGTATTCTCGATATCTAGCACATCAGGCAAGGAGGAATCACCCAATAAATGTTGGCTGAACAAAGGGGCGACTGGGCTAGGTTTCAGTTGCAGCAAGACCAGTCATCCAGACACAAGCTAAGGCAGTCTGTGCTGGTGAACAGTTTGCTACTTGCTGCTCAGTGGGGTCCCATCCATTTTTCTAAAACTGTCTTCAGTCCTTCAAGTGTCAATCAAATAAGACATGCGCTCCCAATGCAACCTGAGCCTGTCAGAGAGTGGGGCACCGTCAATACAACTCAGTGATCCTGGTATGACTTTATAATCAGATCTGGGTCCTGACTCTGGCAGTGCTGCTGATGGCTTGTATGACAAATCAGTTTCTCTGAGCTTCAGTTCTCTCATTCATGAAGTGGGACATAAATGGTCTTGACATTGGACGACTGTTACGAGAACTAAAGGAGAATAATCTTTATAAAAATAAAACCTTTACTGTATTTAATAGAACATGGAAAAAGTTCGGAAAACTCTAGCTATTATCTCTCCGTCAGAGATCTGATTCTCAGTAGCAGAAAAACCCATGGATGCTCTTAGCTTCTGCTCACACCAGAGACTGAGCAGGTTAGTCCCTGCATAGACAGGGGACTTTTGGGTCCATGACTGACTTCAGAATGCTCCTCTTTACTGAAGGAACCCTTAACAGTAACACTTACTTAAAGCACCCATAATTCACTGGGACTTCCTAAGGGCATGAATGTCTTATTTATATGCATTAAGTGAAGTCATAAATATTTACCTATTCTCTTTAAAACACAAAAACATCTTCAGCAATCTGCCCTGAAACAAAAATATAGATGCCCTACACAATACAGGCACTAGAGTTTAAAGCCACTGTTACTTTGTGTTGGAAAGAATATTAATTTTCTCTAGAAAGCCCGAGTGATAAGAATCCACAGATGAACCATCTGAATTCCTGCCCAGACACAGTTTCATTCAGATGTGTCTAAGTACATCTGCTCTGGTACACTTTCTTGGGACACTGAAACAGGCTGCCTTCTTTTTTCCCCTAGGGCAGCTGGTCTGCTGGGGAGGGACTCGGAGGCCTTGCTACAAAGTCATTTACTTTCCTGAGGCTTTTCAAAGACTGAACTTTGAGGAAGCCAAAGAAGCCTGCAGGAGAGATGGGGGACAGCTAGTCAGTATCGAAACAGAAGATGAGCAGAGACTGATAGAAAAGTTCATTGAAAACCTCATGGCATCCGATGGTGATTTCTGGATCGGCCTCAGGAGGCTGGAGGAGAAGCAGGGCAACCACACAGCCTGCCAAGACCTTTATGCTTGGACAGATGGAAGCACATCACAATTTAGGTAAGTGTGTGACTCCCGCAGCAGCTGGTTCCCTTGAACATAGCTCAGAAAAGAGCCAAGCAGGACCCACAGTCAGATTCATGAGAAGGTCTGGCAGTAACAACAGAATGGCTACAGATCCGAGCAGTATGGCAAAGATGGAGCACTCAGCCTTGACTTGGGCCCAAAGTGCCCTGTTCAGGTAGGTGAGTCCCAGCAGCCCTTTTTAAATAGCACACCATGCTTGGCACCTATGGTTCTGGCTCTCTGGTCCGTGGATCTAAGACTGTGTACCTTAAGAAACTGAAGGTGCATAAAGACAGGGCCAGGGTAGGACTCCAGACCACAGGGAATCGGGATCTTACTCTACGGACTGACCAAGGGTGGAGACTGAAGAAAACGACAGTTTGTAGAAAGCGCCTCAACTCACAGCCTCAAGATACTGATAATCACTCACATCCCACCATGTCCCATGATACTGTCATCATCTCTTCCCAAAAACTACAGAAACATGGACAGACACTTCAAAAAATGTCAACATTGCAAGGCAAACATGGAAAAGGGGAACAATCTACCAAAGAGTTAATCTTTGTATGATAAAGAGTTGTAAGTCAATTTAAACACACAGGCGATAAAATACAAAGGCCTCAAAGGCAAAAAGACAAACGATCTAAACGAGAGCTCACAAAGAAGAAAATCGAATTTACTATGCAATTATATGGAATTTATTCCATATAAGCATAAAGATTAAAAGGTGGTTTATCTGGGCTCCAGAGATGCCTCAGTAGTTAAGAGCGCTGGCTGCTCTTGCAGTGGACCCAGGTTTAGTTCCCAGTACCCACATGGCAGCTCACAATTGTCTTTTATCTCCAATTCCAGGGGGGTTTTACTCCCTCTTCTGGACTATGAAGGCACTGCATGCACATGGTACACAGACACGCAAGCAGTCAAAACACTCATATGTATAAAATAAATAGATATTTTTAAAATGATAGTTTATCTGTTACATTAAGGCAGCATGCCCGCTCTCACTCTACCGGATTACACTTATAAGATCTCATCTTCATATAAGCTGTAGAAGAAACTCCTCTGACATTCTTATAGTCTTTTCTTCCTGGAAGAAATTTTGAAAGAGGAAGTTCAGAGTAGGAAGTATATCTCTCATCTCTGAAGATGAGCTTAGATCCACACTGACACTTACTGACATCCCACCTTTACTGTCCCTACGTAACATACCCTACCCCTGCTGCCGGTCTCAATGACTGACTTTGTAGCATAATCAGACAGTCATCTCTGAAGAGCATGAGGCTCTAGTCAACTTGTACTTCTCAGCCTGGACTTAGTGTGCTTTCTCGTTGACTTTCAAAAGTAGGACGTGAATGTGAAGATATTCCCCAGCACATAACTGGAAGGCATTAACATACAGCAGCAAACCACCTCCTCCTAATATAGAGTAAATAACCCCCTGCCTAGATACTGACAGCTCTTCTTGTCTTGCCATGTGGTAACTAACCATGGCTCGTGGCTTGATTAAATCCTTGCTATGTCTCCTAACAGCAGTGTTCCTCTCTGGAAACTAAGTACGTGCAAACTCCCAGATCATAGCATTGCAGAAGTGAGAAGTACGAACTCCACAAGTGACAATGGGGTCCAGTGGAGGAACTGCTGCTCTTATCCCTTGGCTCCAGGCCCATGTATTCTACTCTTAGAGATACAGGGTAATGGAACTTGTTGCCTGAAAGTATACGCTGCTACCTGGAGAATGACATCCATCTCCAAAGTTCAATTACTTTGAGGCTGATGCTTCAGCTGTCTTTTCAACAAGCTCTTCCAAGAGTCAAGCTGGTAGCTTTGGGATGGGGTCAAATGTAATCTGACAAGGACTTCCCAAGACCAAGGAGCTAGTTTTATACCTTCATTGCTACATTGGTCTTTTGCCTGATGAGACTGTATTTGGGGTCTTACTTTGATAGATAAAATACTATTGACACTTTTGAGTAGTGGATCTGACTAAAACCCTGAGGCAGAAAAAGCAAACTTAATGCCCAGATTATATTATTTCTACCAAAATGAGTAACTGTCCCTTTCAGGGTCGCGTAGCTAACTTACCAAGTATCATGTTGGTCTCCTTAATTACCAGTGTTATCCTGTCCCCTTCTCAACCTTCCCTCCCTCTGTTGGTGCTATCATTGCCAGACATCTCTGGCGTCACCTGGAATGTCTCAGGTTGGGATGAGCATCAATCTTAATATTGGTCTCTACTGCTGGAAGGCTGGATATTTGTTGTAGTCACAGCCAGATCAGTCTCGCTGTGTGCAATCCAAACTGTTGAGCCCATGCAGAGCCTCCACGATTATTGTTCTTATTTATCTATTGAGCTGCTATGGGTGTGGCTGAGAACAACTGGTTGGCATCATTTGGCTCATTCATTTCCGTCTCCCTGGTTGTCTAGTGCCAATTCTGTCCCTGCCGGGCGTATCACATGAGACACAATTCTCCGACTTCGTGATCACTTCTTTATCTCTCTTCACTTCGTTCCGTCCAAGATGTCATTATCTCCTATCTTCATCCTTTTTCTTTTACATTCTTACTGGTTGGCTGTGCATCTTTGTTTGCCCCAAGTTTCACATGTTTTACCCTCCAGAAACTTCTACTTACTTATAAAGTGTCCAATGAGATATACTAACTAGAGTTCCAGCCAGTGGGAGGTTGTCCCCTCACCACTGGCTTTCAAGGCCATCTCCTGGGGCAGCTGCAGTGAAGCTTGTTTGACTTCACTTAGATCCAGGATTGAGCTGACTGTACCAACTAGTCACAAGGGACTCTTCCACACACGGGGCGTGAGCTGAGGAAGAAGCGCTGGTACAACTGTGAGAAATGCCTGAGCCTAGGCCTTCCTTAAGAGTCTCTTTCTGCTCTGACTCCCACTCAAAACTGGCCAGCTGTCATAAAGGCCACAGTAGTACTCTCTGATGCAAAATATAAAACCTCCAGAACCCAAAGAGACCTGCCAAGTGCTATGCTACCCTTAAATTATTGTATGATATAGTGGTTTGCATTAAATTTTAAAGGGATGATCTCTAGACATCTATATATCCCATCAAAGTGATGGGTCCTGATATTCATTGAGTTTGTCTCCAACTTTCTGGAATACATGAGTCTTACTAAGGTCTCCAACATATTATCCTTTTTTTTATCCCCTTGCTTATTTGGTGCAATTGGCACAGTGGTCAGCAGTATAAAGGGCCAGTATGATCTTCTTCACAATTCATAGGCAATTCAGGTATTATATCCGGGTGTGAGGAAAAATCAAAATAAGGCAAAACCATAAGTGTATACTGTTATCTGTTTTCAATGAGCATAAGCTGTTTTATGGTCTCTTGAATGTGTTCCCCAGATCTGCATACTTCTCTACACAGATATCACTACAGAACAGCAGCCACATTAGGTTCTACAAGGTTGAGTGTGGGCTCCTCTTGTATAATCCTTTAGGGTCTGGGTTTTGCAGGACAGGCAGAGATGTGATGGGAGACAGCACTGTGCACTGTCAGGTCGTTAAGGCACCACTGCCTCCTGCCATCTACCTCTAGATAAGATGCTGTGCTGAGGGGAATGCAGGCTCAGAGGTTATGCTTGGGGTTCTATACCATGATAGCCTAAGGAGTCAATGTGGAACTATACCAGCTACTAGACAGGCCTATTCAGAGGCCCTGGGTTCCATCCTCAGCAAGCCCTAAAAATGGGGTTGTTGAGACACACTGGCATATAATGTGATCCTTCCGACTCCAGAGGCAGAAGCTTCAAGTTCATGTTTGGCCTCAGCTGGCTAAAGGCCCACCTGGAAGAGCTACACTAGACCTTGTCTCACAACAACAACTGAAAAATTAGAGCCAATTAATATATATACATATATTTACATATTTAATATTTTGGAACTGGGCCAATGACACTGGTTAGACCCACTGTGAGCTGACTGATTGATTACCTTATCCCAATGTGCTCCGACTCCAATGTGTGGCTTTCATGTCATCAATGACCATTTATAACCGATGTTTAACAAATCTAGCAATATTTAGACATACCCCCCCTTCCCAAGTGTATGGTTATTTGGTTAAATAGCCAAAGGTCCTTCTGGATAAAGAACAGAAGAAATTGTTATCATAGACACCTGCCACAGCATCATGGGATTTTCCTTCTAGGCATCTGGCCTCTCCCCTTATCTGTGAGTTATGAGACTGAAAACTGGCTCAAGTCCAAAAATAGTATTCTAGGAATCAATCTCTCTCTCTCCCCCTGCCTCCCTGTCCCTCTCTGAGATGAAGTAACATGAACCCATAAAGCTTTGGGGAGGGGGGCCAGTTGTGCTGGAGTTAACTTATTAGCACAAAGCCCAGTCTCCACCAAGACCCCCCCCAGATGTTCATGCATAATATCCAGAGTTTTATCATATATTCAGCTGTTGTCCATAAAACACTTTCAACACAGTAGGTGCAACAAAGGATCTTCCTTTTAGCAGACTGTAGCCCAGGACTAACGCAAAGTCATACTGTGGTGTTACCAGGCATGTCTCTTAGAGAGGCTTGAGAAGACGTGAACAGAGCAGCAGCATCTAGATAAATAGTGTGAGAGTTGGAGCTAGATCCTAGCCCTGGGCAGAAGCAGATCAGTACTCAGGCAGACCACAAAGCCCAGACCTCAATTGGCAGACGGGGTAAGTGCTTACAAACTTCTCCTCCGTGGGCTCCAAGACCTTCTCCTGGTTCCCATATAGGCAACAAGGTGGCAGCACCACCCAGTCCCAGGGACTACTGGATGGTAGAGCTAAACCTGTGATGAACCCTTTCAAGGAGCTAAAGAGGCAAAAGGAAGATACCTCAGAGGGGTGTATTTCCTTGACACTATGCAAATGATTTGAAAACTAACCAAGACCAAGATGGCCTCCTGTCCCCTTTTCCCAGCCTGTCTCCTACTTTGGCAGCCTCTAAATTTTAGGCTATCCCTTTCAGATTCGTCACCTTCTTGTCCATCACCTGGGGCTGGTGTGGCAGAGGTGTCTATTGGAAAGGAGAGCTTTGAGAGAGAGATGCCACGTCTCTCCTCAGTATGTATGATTTCTGAAAAGATAAGCCCAACTAGCACAAAGCCAAAAAAGAAGGCAAGCATTAAGATCTTCCAGACTAGCTCTGTGCTAGCTGCTATTTCTCATAATTATTTCACAGACATAAGAGCATAATATATTCCTCCCTGCAAAGAGGTTGTGGCAAATGTCAGATGATTGATTGTGACAGCCACGGTGGATCAACAGCATGTGTCTACTTGCTGGCAGTGCTTCAATTCTTCCTTCTCTCTGCATCGTGCTCTGAAGCAGAATCTGACACTGGCGGATCAATGGAACCTCATGAGAAAGTAGGGACATGGAAGTCTTAGGGTGTGTTTCTCCAGTTACCTCCACTGTCCTTCCTTTCCCTTCAGGAACTGGTATGTGGATGAGCCGTCCTGTGGCAGCGAGGTCTGCGTGGTCATGTACCATCAGCCATCAGCACCACCCGGCATCGGGGGCTCATACATGTTCCAGTGGAATGATGACCGGTGCAACATGAAGAACAATTTCATTTGCAAATATGCTGATGGTAACGAAACTTTTCCCCCAGTTATATGGCTAAATTTCCAACCTCTTTCCCCATTTCAAAAACAGCTGCTGGTACTAAGAACTTACTCTGTGCTCCCTGAGAAAGCTTGTTGCAAATGTCAGAACATTAAACTTTGAGAATTCTTGTAAATGGAAATGTGAAGGCAGTTCCTCCCTGAGAAACAGTTCTAGTAAAGGAGAGGCAAAAGGAGGGATGGTAGGGAAAAGGTTCTAATTTACTTAGGATGAAAAGCAATACTCATGTGAACATCTGATAAAGGCCTCTGCTGTGAACAGGCACAAACTCACTCATTCCATGTGTGTTTGGCTGTGGGAGCCAGGAATAAGCTGAGGGTTACTTCTGCAAGTCCTCTGGCAGCCATGTGAGATTATGTCCTGAAATCTAAGGCAACAGAATAATGACCAGAAAAGGCAAAATACCCCAATATCACTGGCAGGCTTAGACAGCGGGCACTTTGATGAAGGAAGTTTAAAAGTCTCCAGCCACCCACCTCTAGATTTGCCTTGCAAATTCAACTTGCATTTGCTTCCAGATCTGCAAAGAGTTGGAACTGGCAAAAAAAAAAAAAAAAAAAAAAAAAAAAAAAAAAAAAAAAAAAAAAAAAAAAAAAAAAAAAAAAAAAAAAAAAAAAAAAAAAAACCACAGTCTCGCTCTACTGAGTTCCTAGAATCCTTTATTAAAATTGACTCAGAATTAAACTCATTCTTGATGTGTCCCTGAAGTTTCTCACTTCCCTGAAGCCAACTGCTTGGGCCCAACTCCACAGCCTTTCCCGACAGGGGCAGAATGACTTGTTAGTTTTATCTGTTATAATTCAGGACTAAATACTATTGCCATTTTTAGCTGCTTGAACTACGTTATCCTCTGGTGGCAAGTTTGTGCTGGAAGATGTTTTTCCTTGCCCAGTCTAGCCTTAGATGAACTCTTCCCTGTGCCCTGTCTTTCCCACACACGCAGTTGCCCAGGGAGAGGGAGGCTGCAGAGAGACCTGGACTGGCTCCGCAGACCACCTTCTCAGAGCAGTGAAGGAAAGCGCTGGCTATACACAGATTTTTCATCTTCTATCATTTTTGTTTATTAGAGTCTATTAACTTTATGGTTTAAGTGTTTGTACATTTTTAAAAACATAATTCTTTATTGACTCTGAAAATTTCACATCATGCATCCCAATCCTGCTCACCTCCCAGTCCTTCCATATCCACCTCTCACCCCTGCAGTATGCTCCCCCCAAATTAATTCAAAACAAACAAAAACCCACCTCACCCCTCCATCTTCCCAACACCTCTTCATTCATCCTAGTGTGATGTGATGTGATGTGCCACACAGTACACCCTTTCGTCCAACCAGCCCCACCCGCAAAATGTTCATCACGGCCAGTGTGCGCCGGTATGCTGTGTTCACGGCCAGTGTGCACTGGTGTGCTGTGTTCACGGCCAGTGTGTGCCGATGTGCTGTATTCACGGCCAGTGTGCACTGGTGTGCTGTGTTCACAGCCAGTGTGCACTGGTGTGCTGTGTTCATGGCCAGTGTGCACTGGTGTGCTGTGTTCATGGCCAGTGTGCACTGGTGTGCTGTGTTCACGGCCGGTGTGCTCCGATGTGCTGTGTTCACAGCCAGTGTGCGTTAATATGCTGTGCACTGATGAGCTGTTTTCGCGGCCAGTGTGCACTGGTATGCTGTGTCCACAGCCAGTTTGCGCTGGTGTGCTGTGTGCACTGATGTGCTATGTTCACGGCCAGTGTGCACCAGTGGGCTGTGTTCACGGCCAGTGTGCACTGGTGTGCTGTGTTCACAGCCAGTGTGCACCAATGTGCTGTGTTAGTGGCCAGTGTGCACTGATGTGCTGTGCACTGATGTGCTGTGCTCATGGTCAAGTGTCAGTGGTCAGAACTACAGGAGATCAGTGTCTATGGGAATCACAGGGTGTCCAAAGATAAGCCACAGAGTTAGATTCATCCACATCTGTTGTTTTATCTTTACTAAATAGCACAATTATGTCTGCTTATGGTTTTAATTTTTATTTAGATTTATTTAGTTGAAATTCCTTTCAGCTAACTATTAGCTATAAAAAAATTTTTATTTTTATTTATTTATTATATATACTGTATTCTGCACCAGATCTCATTACAGATGGTTGTGAGCCACCATGTGGTTGCTGGGAATTGAACTCAGAACCTTCAGAAAAACAGGCAGTGCTCCTAACCTCTGAGCCATCAGCTATAAAATTTAAGCAGGTTTTTTATTCCCTTTATTTTAGTTTTTCTGTGTACAAAGTAAGAATAGTAATAAGGCCCCTTTATAAGCCTGTTATGAAAATAGTTTTTATGTAACACTTAAGATGATTTCTAGGATTGTAGGCATTATGTGGGTAAGTTTGAAAGTAAATAAACAGACTTATATCATGCCTATACACACATATGCAAGAAAGAAGATAAGGGCTGGAGAGCTGCTCAGAGGTTAAGAGCACTTGACAGCTCTTCCAGAGGTCCTGAATTCAATTCCCAGCCACCACATATACATAGTGGCTCACAAGCATCTGTAATGAGATCTGGCACCCTCTTCTGGTGTTCAGGGATAATACAGGCAGAACGCTATATATAATAAATCTTAAGGGGGGGATAAAAAAAAAGAAAGTTTAAGCATTATTTCCCTTTAGGAATGAAATTCCTGATATCTGGGCCTGAAAACTATAATCTCTAAAACCTCCAGGATTCTATGCATCCCAGGCATCTGATACTCAGTGCTAATACCAGGTCATCCAACAGCAAAAACATTTGCCGTAAGTTGTCTGTGACATAAAGCTCTTAGGAATGTTTTAAGCATCACAAGGCTAATCACCAGTCTCTGCCTTGAAACTGGGCAATCCCTCAACCACTTCCACTTCCTGCAGACCAAGTGTTTTTTGCTCTCTGAAATGCCCTCAGTAGGAACTGATAAAATATCCTGGACCACTTTAAGACCGTCTCAGCCAGGATTGCAGTGGGGGAGTAGGGATCAATGCTGAGCAGCTCCATGCTGATAAGTGGAGTTTGTATAACAGCACACGGGATCTCAATATACTATTTTTGTGTGCATTTAGAAAGCCTAATATTAAAGTTCTTAAATACTTTTTAAAACAGCACTGAAGAGTAAAGCTGAAAAAAGGCTAGTATTCATGTACAATTAACTCTTCGTCTTAGGCAACCTACCTCTGGTATCCGATAATAATAATTAATAAGGTGATAATAAACGGAGTTATTAGAATTAGATGCCACACTAGCTGGTTTCATCCAGATGGAGGAAAACGTAACTATTGTTTTTGTTTCTTTCTGCTACAGAGAAACCAAGTACAACACCTTCTATAAGGCCTGGAGGTAAGTCTATCCTGTGAGATTCGGGTTCATTGGGGTCATTTCACAGTCCCATCCCTAGATTTAAAACAATGCCTTTAGAGCAGATTACTCAGCAGAAGACCACTGGCGTTTACCCAAGCAACAGGGACAGATGTCTGTCACCTCCCGTTGTGGCTTCCAGCTCATCATACTCACTCTCTGCCCACTGTTACCTATACTGGTCGAAACGGAAAAGTAATAGTTTGAAAATTACATTTTGGATGTTTATTCTTATTATTGATATAAAGGGAGTAATTTAATCTAGTGAAGTAAGAAATGATCCCAGCTGATTATTTATGGTCCTACCAGTAAGCCATTGTACCTCCCCCTATGTACTTCAGTCCTTTATATTGCTTGTTGACTCTTTTGGTGCCTGATCATGGGCAAAGTTTGCACCAAAAATATGAAGACATAATGGGGAGATGGCTCAGTGGATGAAGTGCTCACTGTGCATGCTCAAGGACCTGAGTTAGAACTCCAGGATCCATGTCTACAAGCTTGGCACAGTGATGTGTACCTCTGACCCCATCACTGGGGAGACAGAGACAGGGTCTACCTGCGAGCTAATCTACCCGAATCTGCAAGCTCCACATTCAGAGAGACTTTCAAAATACAAGGTAAAGAACATAGTGGAAGACACCTGATGTCAACCTCTAGCTTATGTACACACACACACACCACACAGATACATATTTTTGCGCACACACACATGAACATAGGAATGCACACACAATGAAGACAAACCTCTAGTGCAACAAATTCCAACGTTACTGTGTGTATCAGTGGCATTGGTCAAATCACTACTGTTTTCTTGCATCCCCACTACATGTGTCAAAGGACCCCAGGGCATGCCTGGACTATAGCACCTTTCCTCAAGTTCTCAAGTCCCTATGTATCTCTCTCAGGGGAAGCAGCTGAGCCAGCAACACCAGCACTTCCAGAAGAAACACAGAAAGAAGACACCAAAGAAACATTTAAAGAAAGCAGAGGTACTTGGGAAGGATGATGGGACTCGTGTGACTAGAAATCACCTACTTTCTTCTGCATACAGTTCCTTAAAGAGTGAAATTAGGCAAAGATCTGTGACGTCGCAAGCACTGTATGAAATGCTGGGTTTCACCAATGAAATATGCAATGGGCGTATCCTAAGAGGACCGAAACTAGGCAGGAGGTGGCGGGTCCTGCCCGTCTCCAAGACTTGGGAACTTACCTGACCATGGGAAGTGGGACAAGCTAGGGACTGAGAGAAAGGGACTCTTGTGAAATAACCCAAGCCATAAAATATGCAATCTGGTACCAATATCCATAGGTAAACCAAACTGAGGAAATGGGAAGGATAAACATCTAGAAGTCTGCATCACAAAAGGTAAAGGAAAGTCAGGGTGATGAACTGGCGTACTAATGAGCTTTGGACCTCACTCTCACCCTGAGTTTCAAAAGGGAAATCTGGGGTTTTGTCACTGGGCAACTTAACTTAAAAAAAATCCTCTGTGTTTCAGTTTAATCATCTAGTATTTTTCATATCTAGCTGACAGTATTATCAGTTTCATAAAGTAAAATGTAATGTTTCTTTGCAATTCAGTTCTGACACTGAGGGTCTATGCAGTCTCCCCACAAAGCTGAAAGACACCTTCCATACCTCTCACATCAGACAGACATCCAGACAGACATCAGTCATGGGTCTCACAGTCCTCAGACCACCCGCACTCATGGTCAACTGGCTACACATCCAGTAGTGCCCACCAGCCCTGCCAAGTTCTGGAACTCACAAGAACTCACAGAATTTAGGAATACAGTGTCTGTACATCTTATTACACATGATCCAAGTTGGGAACAGCCAAACAAAGACACATCCAGGGCAAGGTCTGGAAAGGTTTCAGATGGGGTCTTCTGTGTCTTCTCCCAGTGGAATCAGGACTATCAACCTCTTCGCTACAGTTTGACTATAAAATATCTTCTGAATGCTCATGTATTGAATGTTTAGTCCCCAGGTGGTAGTGCTATTTGGAAAATTCTGGAAACTTTAGGGTTTGGGTCATAGCTGGAGGAAGTGGGTCACAGGGAGCATGCCTGTGAAGCTAATACATAGTGCCTGGTATGTTCATTTTTCTCTGCGTCCTGTTCACCATGATGTACATAGCCACCTCCTCTGCCATGTTTGCTCATCTCCATAATTCTGTCTGACGTCATGGAGCCAGTCACGTTCCTTTATCTCTGCGTCCTGTTCACCATGATGTACACAGCCACCTCTTCTGCCATGTTTGTTTATCTCCAGATTCTGTCTGACGTCATGGAGCCAGTCATGAAACCCAGAGCTGAAATCACCTTTCCGTCTTCAAGTCGTTCTTTTGGATAGCTTGCTCACAGCTTCACAAACGCCAACACTATACTTCTCCTGGCACACTGACATGTTACCCACCCAGGAAGCTCCATCAGGCTTTGGCGTCCGGAGGTTTTGTTGGGTTTCATTACCTAAGCAGGATAGAGGTCAGGGGGTGTTTCTCCAAAGGAGAATTCTGGTCAAAGCTCCAGTCTGTGGTCACCTGGTATTAACAGCCCCCATTCTAATAAATCTCCTTGCCATAAACTCTGTAGTGTTTGAGAGGCTCATGAATAAAAACTCAATCCTATTTCTTAGAGAATTTCAAGGATTTGGAGCCTCTCTACCAAGGACCAGGGATAGAGGCTAGTAAAATTCTTTATTATCCAATAGATGAATTGTGAAAATATCTTAAAAAGAGAATAAATCCATAGTGGGTGACACTTGTAAAATTATAATGGTATTTTAAATGAGTTCTCTATTTTCTGAGAGTGTTTGCTGTTTTTGATGATTGGCAGGTCTCTATCCTCACAGAAAGTGGGAGAGTGGCAGGCTCTGGATGGTCAGGAGCCTTGTGTCAGTCGAAGCAGAAGGGTTAGTTAGTCGCTGGCCCTTGATTTCTCTCACAGCCCCTGAAGGGAACCATGTCTGTTCTGTGTCAGAGACTACGGGGTTCAGAAAAGAGGACTCCTAAGTGTTCTTCATGGCACTCAGGGACCTAGCCAAAGCCGCTGGGCCTCAGCCAGATGTGCTGGGAAGGTCTGAAGGACAACTTTATTGTGATCCTTCTCTTTCCTGCAAATGACACTGAGACTCTGGTTTGACCTTTTCACTCGCTCTTCCCACCCCAATCTTGCGAAGTTCTGTGACTGCCCCTGGAGGCAAAGACATCCACGCTGCCCCCACCAAGACCTGTCTTTACTAAGAAGTCCATAGAAAAGGAAGACAGCTTTACTCTGAAAAAAATTATAAAACATGATCTTCCAATATTCGCCAGACTCCAAACTTTAAACTTGTTTACAGTATCACTTAGATTAACAGGTCATGTAGAAAATGCTCATCTGTTGAAACTAGGGACTCTGCTAGCAAGGCAACTTCATCTGTTTCCTACATGTGCCGCTTGCAAGATTCTATTGATTGTGCTCTTAAAGCTTGCTTTGAAACAAAACGTACAGAGAGACCGAAAAAGAGATCACCGGGGCTAATATATGCTTTTTTTCTTTTTCAGAGGCTGCTTTGAATCTTGCCTACATCCTAATCCCCAGCATTCCCCTTTTCCTCCTTCTAGTGGTCACTTCAGCTGCGTGTTGGATTTGGATCTGTAGGAGGAGGCAAGTAGAACCTTCATCATGAAAACCTTCGCTCCCCCTCTGCATTGAGACTTGGAGGTTGCCCAGGTGATGTCATTAAAAGCCATGCAAACTCCAAGAGAAGGATCAGTGCAGACTGAGAGTAAACTCTGGCTGGCTCGAGACTCTAGGTGCACAGCAGACAAGCAGCAAGCATTTGTGCTGGCTGTGATTGAGCTAGTGGTCATGTATCCTTTGTTTCCTGTGTGTGTGGAAGGTAAAACACTGTTACTCACTTCCTCTGTAGCCATGCGTCACCCAGCAAAGCGCTCTCCTAAATGGAGGTCCTCATTCCAAAAATGTCTATTGAGTAAGGAATGACTAATGGACCACATGAAAACTGTGTGTTCCAGAGCATTCTGGGAAGCATCTGACACAAAGCCAGTCCATTCAGAATGAATCAGCCAAATTCTTTTTAGCTGATTTTTCTTTTATTGATTTCAAACGTATATTTGCTGCAGAGCAGCTAAACCAGGTAGGATAGGCAGCCTCTGTATGTAATCTGGGTCGTGTGCTCACGTATTTTAGGTGCACGCAACTGTCCTCGGTTACGCTTTTGTCCCCCTTTATCGTGGTCTACATACAAAGAGGCCGGCAGTCTCACTTTTCAGAAGGAAAATCAAGGCCCAGCTTAAGTCAGTATCACTTGGATGAGCAATTTGAAATAAATTTGTAAAATTTCAATGCAGAACCTATTCTTTTTAAAAATTCCCTTAAAGGGTTATTATGGTATTACAGCAATGAATACACACATAACAAGCATATATTTATTGAACACTCAAAAGTATTAGCCTATAGTCATTTTGTTAGTAATTCTCTTGAATTTAAAATAGAATTCAGTTAAACAATTATAGATACATTTTTCCAATGGTTTACACTGCAGTTGGTTCTTCAAATATATTTATTTGATAAATATAGGATTTATTTGATAAATATAGGATTGGAGAATTGCAGCTTTCTGGCCAAATCGTTTTCATTCTCTCTCTCTCTCTCTCTCTCTCTCTCTCTCTCTCTCTCTCTCTCCTTCTTTTTCATTTTTTATTTTTTTCCTGTCTTCATTTTTTTAAATATTTATTTATTTACTTATTATGTATACAATATTCTGTTTGTGTGTATGCCTGCAGGCCAGAAGAGGGCACCAGACCTCATTACAGATGGTTGTGAGCCACCAAGTGGTTGCTGGGAATTGAACTCAGGACCTTTGGAAGAGCAGGCAATGCTCTTAACCACTGAGCCATCTCTCCAGCCCCCTGTCTTCATTTTTTTAAAACAGTCCTCGGGATCAACCCAGGGCTTGCCAGACAAGTAACATTTAGCTTTATCCCCAGTCCTTTAAACAATATTTTTTAAGTGCAACAAACAAAATGCATTGGTAGAAAAATGAAGCAATTATACCACTACATAGTTTAGCAAAAATATTTCCCAAAATGAACCGTTTCTTTATTAATGATTCTTAATGGTAGGTATAATTATAATTTTGAAGTACAGGTGAGTATAAAATATTTCAAAGCAAGTATAATAACTGATATGATATAGGAACATGATTTCTGTTGTTGATAGAGTCAATATTATTAATCCTACCCTTGTTACTTAAACTTTTAATGGTAGAATAGAAATAGACTAGAAATAGAAATAGCTAATTTTACGTAGAAATGAGATTTTTAGTATAATTTTTTTTCTCCTATTGCTTTCCGGCCCCACATTCTCAAGGGAGTCCCGGAACCCAAGCTAGTGACAGTGAATGGCAGGTGTAGGATCACTATGACTATAACACTCTCCTAGGCTGTCTCCTACCCAACCCACAAAACCTATAGGTGGAATTAAGTTGAAGGAGAAGTAGGTCACTTCCTGAGGCTACTTCCTCCCGCTTCATTAGGAACAGGAATATATACTCTCAGTACCCTGGGCTCAAAGACTCAGCCTGGCTCTCTTCTTCTAGGAAACGAGAGCAGCCAGACCCTACCACAAAGGAACAACACACCACTTGGCCCACTCCTCACCGAGAAAACAGCCCCGACCTAGATGTTTACAATGTCATCAGAAAACAAAGTGAAGCCGATTTAACTGAGCCCCGGCCAGACCTGAAGAACAGCTCATTTCGGGTGTGTTCTGGTGAAGCCACTCCCGACGATGACGCTGTAACTTGTGACTACGATACCATGGCTGTGAACCCTTCAGAAAGTGGGTTTATGACTCTGGCAAGTATGGAGAGTGGATTTGTGACCAATGACATTTATGAGTTCTCCCCTAACAGAACGGGGAGAAGCAAGGAGAGTGGCTGGGTAGAAAATGAAATATATTACTGAGACATATGGGGAAAACTGGCAAAAATGAGAAAAGAGAAGCAAAAGCATCCTATTTCTCACAAGGAAAATGTTCAGAAAGTTGATGAAAATGCTCAGATCGGGTCTTAGGATAAACACAGAAGCTCCACAAGTTCCTACTGGGTCCCCAAGTTCTGGTTGTAACCCTTATTCCAGGGCCTCACCCAGTTCAGCCTGTGAGAAGGCACCTTGCCCCGGAGCTGCCATACAGCAGACCCTCAGCACCCGTCAGCCAGTGGGCTTCAACAGATCATCAAGGGCTGGCACTTTCAATGGTCAGGATGGAGGTGTGACCGAGGAGCTTAGAAAGCCCACCTCTAGTTTCTGTTCTCTTTGCTCTCTACACCAGCAGCACATGTAATCACAAAAAGGCAGAGACTGAGGGATCTTCTCAAGGCCTGGGTATGGAAGCCCCAACTGATCTGCACATCAACAATTCTCATATCTGCCCCCCACCCCACATAAAATCCAATAAAAAGCAGGAAGCAGAATGTTAGTCAGTGTGTGTCTACAGTCCTTCCTCTGCATGTAGCCTCAGGGGACTTTTTTATTTTTTATTTTTTTAATTCTCCTGACATCTAAACTTGGAAAAACCCAACTTGGAAATCCTTTAGTAAGTAAAAATGAAGTCTGTGTTTGCTTCAGCGTTCCTTGTTCTCCTGGCTCAGACAGTCTGTGTTGTCTGGGGATGGGGGGGGGGGCAGCAGCACTGGAGACTGACTGTGTAGGCAGAAAGACTGGCGAAAGAAGCAGACATAATAAAGAGATGGAGATGCCTCACCACAGAGAAGGCAGTCACAGGCATCAGAGGGAGAAATCTGGAATAGACCCTATTGTGTTAGACTCAAAGAGAAAACAGTGGTGTCACTTTGGGGCTTTCCATATTGGGGACACATACAGATACACATATTCTCCACTAAAGTGAGCCAGGACTCCGTGAAGTTGGACAACTCCAGGACAGATGCAGGAAAAAAAAAATAAGAGTTACTTGAGTAATGAAAAGTACCCAAACATAGGTAGAATTAACAGGCCTATTGTTCTACAGGAACAGCAGTGCTCTGCACAACACAATAGCTTATCACATATTGATAAATAACTACAAGAAAGGAGTTCAAGGGCAGCAAGCACAAAGTCACGATAAGGATATGAGGATATGTATTGCCCTGGTTGATCAGTACACATTGTATGTATGCCGGTAAGTCACACTACTGCTAAAATTTTTATATTTAAAGAGATTGGGAATGAGAGTGGTCATTTGGGAAACTACACCACCACCAAGGAAGAATGAGTGGGAATCTGCAGATTACAGAACTCAGTTTACGATGGCCCTCCTCTGGTAACACGTGGGGTAATCTGAATATCAAAATCATTACCAGTAAAAGCAACAAGCGAGTGTGACCATTAGATAAAACAAATAAATTGGTGTGTCCTGATACAAAATAAGTGAATAAACCTACTTGGATGAGGAACGAGATATTTACATGATTTCAAGTCCCTCACCCACAAAATCATCATTAATTACAAAAGTGTCACAACGGGCAAACCCCACCTCCGTTAACTGATCAATGTGAACTTGTCAATAATGCAGTGTACCGAGAGTAGAGACCGCACTGTGTGCAGTGAGAACACAGCATCGCGTCTGTGCTTTCCAGCCTAAGTGGACAAGCTGGTCATAAGGAAGCCTTACTCACAAACAAGTTAACAGACAACCTGCGAAATAACTGGACTGCAAACTTGAAGCCGGATGATAGTGGAAGCGAAAGCAAACCGGGACGCTGCAGTTAGAGGGCAGTGAGAGAGGAGACAGCTCAAAGCACTGCTTGATTCGGAAACAGATCCCTTCTTCCCTGCAAAGGAAAATACGGGAACGCACTTGCGTGAAGTCGGAGGAGTAAATGGCAATCATGTGTTAGTGCTAATTTCCTGATGTTTATGCTGCACTGAGGATATGTCCTGACAGGGGGAATGGCAATGTCGAAAATTAAAGTAATAAAGGATGAAGGACCACAGGTTGACAACTCTCTCTCTCTCTCTCATGCGCTTTGGGGATGGAGGAATGCTCTGTGCACTGTACTTGCTGTGTCTCCTCTTAGTTAGAAATTATTTAAGGAAAAGCACTTTCGAATGGCAGCACTATAATTATTGATTACATTACTTCCGTGGTGCCATCCATGTATCTGAGCTCAGCACACATGCTGTGGCTCGGAGCATCTAACAGTCTTTGATCCTGGACAAAACCAAATGAAGTTCTGACAGCCATCATCAGAACCCAGGTTCTGGCCCATCGCACAGATGGCCCTCCTTAAAGGCAGCAGGGAGCTGTAATGAAGCACCTTGACCCACCCTGTCAATTTAGAGACTCCAAGATTCCTCTCTCCCGTTTGGAAATGCAAATAAGTTGTGTGATCTAGAATAAATAAACATTAAGGTGTCTTTCAACTCTAAAGTTATTTTATTTCAAAATTATATTTTTCCTAACTTACTGAGTATAAGACAGCCTTCTGAACTTGTAGTAAGAACATGCATAATGGCAGAGACAGATACAAATACGAGGTTATGGGGACTTGCACCCTAAGAGGTGAAACCAATTCTGTATAGACCTTTGTTTCTTTCAAACGAAGATCAGTAAATGGTTACTAACTGCTAAGTAATCTTAAGTTATCAGAGATTCCTGAGTTTGAAGATCAGAAAAGGTGACCGAAATGAGTTATCAGATCAAGGACATTAGGAGAAACAGTCTCCCAAAATATAGTAAGGGCAATTAAAAGTTTCCTAGAAAAATTGAATAATAACCTGAATAAGTACTTGAACATTTTCTAGTACTTAAACATTCTAATCAGAAAATTATTCTACATTAAGGAGCTAACGTTAGGACTGTACTGTTAATATCTGTCCTCACAAGTCCAAATAGACTTATAACTGCTTGGCTGTAGTTGTAGGAAAAGTCAGTACACTAAGGACCTTGCCAGAAAACTGGGGGCGGCTTTAATTTTTTACACCACTAGGTGGCAGCATTAGGATGCCATAGAAATTTTGCCCACTACTAATCTTCAGTTTGTGTCAAATTCCTCCATCTAAAGCGAGAAGAGGGTCGGGTAAGGACAGAAGGTGAGGTAACACAGTAAAACAAAGTCGATAAGAATGAGGGCTCTGGGGTCAGGTGTCTAGGCTCCCACTCTTCCTTCTGCCGCTCACTAGCTGTGCCATCTTAAACTGCCTCATCATTGAAGCCTCCGTTTCTCCATCTCCAAAATAAGGATAATAGGATCTGAGGCAATTATTCAGCCTGCGAAGTACTCGCCATACAAGCATGAGTTCAGATCACAGGCCCCCACATAAAAAGCAGGACCTAGAATGCTCCCTATCACAGGGAGACAGAGACAGGGTGATCCCCAGGGTTCACTGGCCAGCCAGACTAGGTGAACCAACTCCAGGCTCAGCCAGAGACCTTGTCTCAAAAAAATAAGGTGGAGATCAATAGAAGAAGACATTCATCTTCAAGCTCTGGCTTCTACACAAGTACACAGGAGCACATACATAAACACACAGACACACACAGTGCACTTGGTATATCTTAAGGGTTGGTTTGTGCATCGCTCTTAAGTTTCTCACATATTGAAAGTCCTAACCCATTTAAGAGGCCCCAAGAAGTGGGGAGGTGGACATGAAGTCCCACTCCTCGCTGAGGAGCTCTTGGCACTTGATGGCTGCTTTGAGAAGGAGATTCAGTTTCTTAACATTTAACAATGTGACTCCTAGTAGATTAACCACTCTTTAGAGCAGGGCCCACGCCCAAGGGTATTTGGGCAACATACATTGGAATCAACAGGTCTGGGGGGTGGTACTGAGGTAGGAGTAGATCCGAAAGGAGATGGGGGGGGGATACAACCAAAATACATTATATGAAATTCTTTAAAAACTAATAAAAATTTAAAAAAAAACAATAATTATCTAAGTACATAAAAGAAACCTCTTTTAAGAGGCACTGAAGGTCTCAGTTAAGAGGGGGATCATTAAGATAGCTCACTAATTCCAGTGGCTAACATCGTCATAAAAAGGGCCATCTGGAAATGGCTGTGTGTGTGCATGAGGAGAATATGATGAGATGGTGAAGGCAAAGCAAAGTGATGCTTCTGCAAGGAATACCAAAGGTTGCTAACTGACCACCAGAAACCAGGTGAGAGTTATGGATAAGCGTGTCCTTTGCAACTATCGGAAGGAACCAAACCTGCCATTGCCTTGATCCTGAACTTCTAAACTCCAAAATTGTGAGGGGGAAAAAAAAAATATATTTCTTTTGCTCAATCCATACCCAGGCTGTGATACTTGCTTCTGGCAGTCTAAGCCACGAAGATAGCACACAGATAGCACACGATACGAGCTCATTAACAGTAGCTAATACCAGCCCTGTACACCTTTACTTGCACGGGACAATACAGTTTTTTTCTTAACTGCTATAAACATTTTACCCTGCACCACACACCCCCTGGCTGCGCCAGCCTAGCCTTAACCCCCAAGGCAATGCTTAGGCAGAGTAAATACACTGTGCTTAAATAAAGCACAGCTGCACATGGCTCCAAATCCTCCTTCCTGCCAGTCACACTGCCGCGCTGTCGGCAGCCGTGTGGATTCAGAGCTTCCTGCTCTGTGTGCACGGTACAGAGGCTGTGAGGGAGTGTTACCTCCCGGGGTGGCCTCAGATGCTCAAAGGGTCCATACAAACTGCCTCAGGGACAGACACCACCCTTAGCTCACAGAAGAGAGAGAGAGAGAGAGAGAGAGAGAGAGAGAGAGAGAGAGAGAGAGAGAGAGAACAAGAACACATTAGCCCCTGGTTAGAACTTGAACTAAAAGGGATCATTAGTGTGTCATCCTCGTCTAAGTCTCTGCTTGAATGAATTGATCAGAAAAAAAAAAAAAGACATGTCAAAACAATTGGGGAAAGCTGAACATAGACTAACAAAATTAAAGATTTATTTATTTTCCCACTAAGAGTGGTGTTTTGTTTAAAGAAAAGATCTTACTGGCTAAAGGTCTATCTAGGGGCTGGTGAGATAGTCCAGTGGGCAAAGGTGCTTCCTGCACAAGCCTTACCACATGAGTTGCTTGATCCCTGGAAGCTACCTGAAAGTGGAAGGAGAGAACCAACCCCACCAAGTTGTCTTTTCACCTCTACACACGTGTCATGGTATGGGAGCCTATACACACAAACACATACACACACACACATACACACACACATCATTTGTGCACACACACATACAAAGAGAGGCAATTATTATTATTTACTTACTTTTTAAATTTTAAACACCTTAAGGACGCATAAGGTAAAATGATTCAATTTTTGACATATCTTTTAAAACATGCTAGCAAGAACAATGGCAGGCAGAGGAGTGGAGCAGGACCAAAGGACTGGTGACCGTTCTGCAGAGTAACAGGTCCATGGTGGTTCCTTCTATTCATCTCCCGGCACTTACGTGCTTGAGAGTTTCCATTAGAGTGAGTGTGTGGATGTCATGAAGGTAGAACATGAACCGAGGGGAGCAGAGGATCTTCCGGGGGCAGTAGTAGCAGGAGAGGGTGATAGCGTATATAGGATACAACATGACAGCGTAAGGAGAGACTATCTGTGGGGGGAGAAAAGGACCAACAAGAGAGGCCGAAGAGAGGGTAGTAGAGATGCAAAAGAACAAAGTACAAAGAAATACATGCATGGAATATCATAAAGAGGCATTTTTCTATTTATTTTAAAAGGTTTCCACTGGAAAGTTTTAAAAACAAAAATGGGAGGGGGGGAATCACAGGCCTTCCTCTTGCTGGGGGAAGTTCTACATTGGGTAAGGTAGGAAGTTCAGAAATCCCTACGAGTTTCTTCTCCTCACGGGAAGTAATCATGAGTGGTGTAGAGTTGAACGCTGGTGTTTTGTCAGGCTTTTACCTAACATCTGCTCTCTTCCAGAGCTGAGCTATGGATGAACAAGAAGATACCAATTCCCAGAGAGATGCCTCCATGCTAAGTTCCTTTTCAGCCATCGCCTCTTAATCCTCACAGTACTACAAGGAAGAGAATACCTTCATCAAGGGTCAATGGGCTAACTAACCAGTAGGGGGTTTTGCTTTTTTTTGCCTGTTCCATAAATCATCCCGTATACTAATGTGGATGCAACTGGAATGTCATTGTTCTTTTAAATATATATAACTTTGCTGTTACAGAAGCACAAATGAAAATCACTTGCATTTTTTTTCATGCAATGCCCCTACTGTTTTTCTCATTGACGTTTGTAACTTAAATACCTTCTGTGTTTCCAACCCTGTAAACACAAAGATAAATATGGCCCTACCCTAAAGTGTCCACAGTCTACCTGTAAATAAGCAAAGGTCACTGTGTATTGCATGCTGCCTTTGAAGTACATCAAAGAGGCAATTGTAGCACAGGGAGGAGCCTGACGTAGTCTACTTTTCATAAACCCAGTAGTCTTCCCAAGTCCCACCTGCCTGTGCAAGCTTCCCAGACTTCCATACAGATCAGTAAGTCACCCTGTCGCCCACAGCCTGAACATATGCTTCATCAGAGCATCCCTCACAGCCACAGATAAATCATGCATCCTTCACAGTGAGTCACCCTCGAATTCACCGTGCCTGTGAGCCACCCTACTCGACTCAGCTGTCTTACAGGACCCTCCCACAACTCTTAGAGCACTGCTTTCCACGTTACTGGTTAGGCATGTGTTCGTGTAAAATGAAAAGGCAAGTACAACAGGCTCAATGTTCCACTCTCCCAGTTGCCCTTTCAATTGTGTATTTCCCTTATTTTCCTATGGAAAAAAAAAAAGTCAGTCAAGAATCTCTTAGCAGATGTGAATGTCTTTTTAAAGATATAAAATCATTATTGGGGGGCTGGAGAGATGGCTCAGAGGTTGAGAGCACTGGCTGCTCTTCCAGAGGTCCTGAGTTCAATTCCCAGCAACCACATGGTGGCTCACAACCATCTGTACTGAGATCTGGTGCCCTCCTCCGGCGTGCGGGCAGAATGTTGTATACATAATAAATAAATAAATCTAAAAAAAAAAAAAGAATGTCTTCTTTTTAGAAGAGATTTCTTTTCCTTCCCCCTTTTTAGATCAAGAATAGAGCTTTCTCGAAATGGCTCTTCCCTCTGATCTAGAACCACATCAAAATTGTCATAATCAAAATGGAATCATTTCTGTCAAACTTTGGTAAAATAGAGTCAGGAGGCCTTGATGAGAGGGCTCTGGTGTATACCTACTTATCGTAAGAACCGCGGCAAGGACTCTCTGAACACCACAATCTCACCCAAAGGTCACCACCACATTTCTGTGAAGGCATCTGCCTAAAGAATCTCTGTTCAACCTTGGACTCATGTACTCCTTGTTGATCTTTGTAGTCAAGGATAA